CAAGGACGGCACTGACACGCAAACTCCGACCGCGGAAGAGGAGCCTCGCGTGTTCGCACTTCAAAAGTATGGCCTGTTTTCATGATATACGTGTAGAGTTGGCTTCAACTAACACGTGCCAGGAACTTTTTCGGAGCGCGACTCGAAAAGAAGCGACAAATGGAGATAGCAAAACGAAACCGGGAGCGTCTTCAGCAACCAAACCTATTTCCATCAGTCCCGAAAGGCATGCCGGGTAGTTGAGAAATGTTCACCACCGAAGCCCGAAAGACGGGACCATAGTACAAGCCGGCGACCTGCCTGATCCATAATCGCCGGTGTCGCAGCCATATCACCACCGTCAGCCCACTCCGAGCACATGATTCTCGATGTCACCACCCGGACTAACCTCTCGTCATATACCCGCCTGTACATACCCCCAAGTCGAGAAGTTCAACATGACCAGGACAAGGATCTTTAAGCAACTTGTGTCCCAATCAGGTCTGCTGCATTAGCTTGCTCTATCTGGAGTCGGCGCCGGCTGTTGTCCTTTCTCGTGCGGACAACGCTTCGATGTTGCATTCTACTGGATACAAGACATCGTTGTCTAAAGATCGTCTCCTCATTGGCTCATTTACGTCTTAGAAGGGTGTGGATTTGGTTACCTCTGTGCAATTGCGACGACTGCAGTGGCCCTGGTGGGCTGTCGGATTGCTGGGGAACTACAAGCTGCCGTGGAGGACAGTTCCGTCAGAATCCTTGCCGGCGATCATGGGTGTGTGACTATTAAACCTGACAACTTATCACTGGCCGGCTAGGCCAGGCATTCCTCGAGAGATCCAGGACTGCTATTTTGGCGCGGATGATCATAGCGGGTGTTTGCCGAAGGACTAGGGACTTCCGAAAGAGAAAACCTACGATAATACGGTTTACCCCCGCTAACCTCGATTCTTGAAGGATTCATAGCCGGGGTTGATTGGGTTTTACACGTTTTTTAGGCCCTTGCTGTCGGGTTGACGAAGGAAGCCGGCGATAGGATCACGCGGACGACTAAAGACCGAAGATGCCGCTTCACGACGATGGAACCCTCTATGTTGCCAACAGCACGAATTGATCAGATATCCTCCGCTGATTTCTTCTTGGCCATCTCAATGCAGTGCATACTGCGAATCTCTATACGCCCTGATTCGTTCGAGGGCCGAGGAGAGGGGACACACGCAAACTTTGCCCGGCAGCGTAAGCATAAAGCGTGACGCATGTCAGCACTAGGCCTGACAAGGCACTCGAGTGGCGTGAAGGAGACAGCTGAAGTTCCATGAGGCAGCAAGCGAGGATGGCACAGGCCGCCCCAATCTGCAGGAAATGTTGTTGGTGGTGGCATCTTCCCGAGACACTACTGGGAGACTGGGATTGTGGGCTGTTGAGACGTTCGCCGTGGTCCATAAGGCCAGAGAAACACCATGCGGTGCGCGGCATGCGTCTCCGTCCAAGAGAAGATTAGGGCTGACACGGACTGCTGGATCCGCGTGCTACCCGATGTCAATCGGATGGCGATCAATCGACACGCCTTGGTGAGCACTGCTGCGAAGAGTTCCTGTTTTAGAAGTCTCTCCCGAACGCTTGGTGCATGTCGCAACTAGCGGGTTAATACGTCTGCTAAATCCCTCTTCAACTTACTCCTCAATGATTCGAGAAGCCGTAGTTTAGCTCGATTTCTACAGGCGAATTAACAGTTTGTGAGTGTTAAAGGGTGTGATGAGGCTCCTCCGAGGCCAACTCTGACTCTCAAGCTGGGCGTAGCTTACACAACCTCCAGCCCCCCACATTATCAGTCCTTCACAACCTACCTAGGTACAACCTGCTTATGAGGTTTCAGTCATCTTTCCGTAAATTGTCGGGGCATGGAGACGTGGATCCTGCGAAGGCATCGCAACGGCAAGTGCCGCGAATAAGCACATACAGGACCAGGGCATTTTGCTTATTCGGGCAATACGAAACGGGGAGGACCGAAAGCCGCTCAAACCAACGTCGCCTAGTGTTCTCTGCCTCGGGCGGCCGTCACAGACATGCATAAGCACGCTGGCATCGGCAAGGGGCAAGGGGTGTGGGCTCATACTATCAACGCTGCTGGCGACGATAGAGGTGGGATTCTTTTAGGTCCATTTAGACACAGTAAGTATGCCACAACATGGTCGGAAGAAGCCATCTGTCGTTAGCTCACAGGCCTGAGTTTCCGCTAGCCACAGGGCAACATAAACAAACAGGCCAGGCTGCGTGAGATGCTCGTAGCTTCAGTGACAGGGCTTGTTCTGTGGTTCACATAGTGCTTAGTTATTTGCGCCTTTCTCAAGGCGTCCCAGATAGGCATATTGGATGGCGCTGAAGTCATCATGTCAGAATTACGCAATGACGCGATGCCTCGCCCGAAGCTCTAAGTCCCTCACGACTCGAGATGGCTACGCAACTTTTCAACAATTCAGAATCTGCCCTGGGCGAGCGTCAGCGAAGGCTTGATGGGTCTTTGGCAACCGTGCCAGCCAGGCTATAAGCCTCTGGCGCTCATCGGACATGATCAGCCAAACTCAACCACCGGGGTCGCGGGCGGCACTTGCTGCTAACACATGGAGTAGTCAGGCCAACTACCTTGGACGGTGACAGCCTTACGCCTGTGTGGTGGTCTTGAAATGGTGGCATGGCCTTGCTTTGGAGGAAAGCCTCGCGTGACGTTTGTTGCCTTTTTGGCTCTGTCACCAAAGAAACCTTGACTGTAGTTGTGTTAGGTTTTGAGCATTGCCTCGAATAATCCTAGTGCATCCATCACCCAGGGCCAGACTGACACCTCAATGCCTGCCAAGTTTTGCAAGACTTCAGCAAGTCGATCACCGGTGGCTTCTCCGCGTGGAGGTGGGCATCCTCTAATACTCTACTTGCAAAACCTCCACAGGACAAACCCCTAGACGACGATCACCTACAGGAGAAGGAGTTTTGCCCGTGACAGGGGGTAACTAGAGTTGGTGTGAGGCTCACACTCTTTCCCTTCTAAGTTCTATGCCATCCCGTCCACTTCCCGAACCCAGCTGAGATAAAAGTTGCGCGACAGCTCCTATGTGGCATCGACAGAGAGTGAATTCGGGGGAGGGGTGAGCCAAACATAATCCTTCACGCCACAGGTGTGTCTACTGCTGAGAACCTCGCACCTCGGTGTCGAAGTAGAGTGCATGGCGCATGGCATGGCATGGAGGGGTGTAAGTGCCACGCAGCATCATCATGGGGATATGAGGGAAACAGGGGGCCGAGAGGCACGAGAGGTACGAGTGAACCTTAGCGGTCACTCTAGGGCAGAAGTGTGTGCTGATCATTTGCCTGCCGGATTTTCGGATTTACAGGCTCACTCGTTTTAGCTATGAGATCTGGGATGCCGGATGGGTTCTCTGAAGGTACATCCTACAGGTTGCCTGCCAGTGGGCTAGGAGATCTGATATCTTCATTCGGGCTCGTTGGTGTCATTGGTTCTATCAAGTCTAGTTTCCTTGGACTATGGATGGTATTGAAGTAAGAGTGTCATCGTTATCAGATCTTCCACATTGATTCAGCGCTACATGACGGATGGCAAGTCGAAGTCATGATATTTTGCCGCCTTGGACTTGGCACGTCCAGAACTGTTGACGTCTTGCGGGTTCGAAGACGACTGCTCTGGGGTTGGGGACCAAGAATTCCAAAGAACACAAAGACAGGTCGATGTTCTGCTATGAAAGGACCGACTTTTCCAAACAATTACACCACTTGTGCTTGTTGCTATCCGAAACTGCTGGGATTCAGATGCCCGCTTTAGCGAGCATCTCTGCTTACAAGCCATTGTGACTCATTGGATGCCTCGGACTTGGCACCTCGGAAGGCCCTTCAAGTACCTCACAGCTTAAGCCAGGGTCAATTCGAAAGTACATGTAGACAGAGGGGAAAACTTAAGCTACGCTTGACACCGGGGATCAGAGGCCGGCATTGGTGTGGGTTAGGGCTGTGGGTGGACAGGCGGGTGACAGGGTTCCGATGCGGTTTCGTCGATTCTTGTTTCTACTTCTGTCAGCTTGTCAGCACGATGGGTCGGGGGCTAGGAGAGGAGACTAGCTTGCATACCTCTACCTACCCCTCCTCGATATCTCGTCACATCTACTGCAAGCCAAGACGGCAGTGGGATTGTGATGGCTCTTGCTCGCCGTAACTATGCTGACATGAGAATTCGGTTGTTTCATGATCAGAATGGAATCATTACGCAGCATGAGACAGAACTTGCTCGTTACTGGGGAGCTGAGGATGCATGAAACACTGACGATGGTGTCTTCTATGGGGTGTATAGCCTACCATGTACCTCACAGAAGTAGAACCAAGATTGCGTGGTCGGTGGAGGGGATATCTTACGTGAGAACTCTATCCCTCGCCTAGCTTGTCAGTCAGCCACAAATTGATGCAGCGTCGCAAAGCACTCTAGCATTTCAAGTATTGAGTTTGTGGGACGTAGATCACAAGGACCATATTACCTGTATCTGGGCTTTTTTATAGAGGCACAGGCACCGTGGCTGCTGACTGCTTATTTGTGGTCCACCTAGTAATTGCTCAGTTGATGTGATCGTGACACGATGGTGATGAGGCGTTAAGTGGGCGATTTGACAGCGTAAGAAACATAACGCGAAAATGCCACACCTCTCCTTATTTGCCTAGTCGTACTCTAGACATTCCTTTATACCCATTGCTAAGAGCCCTTTATGTGCCAGAATCTACGCTGCACGCTCTGTCAAACTCATGTATGGAGATGATGTGAGCGTGTTGCCTTGGCCAAGTACCTAAGGTGAGGACTGCAATCGTAATAGAATCATGCTCTACGTAGTTATCTGGCTCTCAGTCACCAGAGCAGGTTTTAACAGGCATTGGAGGCTCGCTCGAAATTGGCATTGGACATTGTCTTCATGAATGAAGATATATTTACGTACATGGAACTAAACATGTGGAAGAAATCGTTTAGTTGCCTAGTCAACTCTCAAGATAGTCTGAGCCTTGAAGTTTCTGCTGCTAGAGCCAACGTAAAGCGTGTACTCTCCGCTTTCAACCTTCCACTCCTGTGCAGCAACGTCCCAGACACTCAGATCCCTCCGCCTCAGCGAGAAAGCCACCTCAGCCTTCTCTCTAGAACGAATCACGACCTTCTGGAACCCACGCAATTGCCTGACTGGCTCTCCAGCTGCTTCGGGGAAGGAGATGTACATCTGGGCTACCTCGGCGCCTTGTAGAGAACCGGTATTCGTGATGGTGGTAGAGGCAGTTGCCACAATGTCCCAGAGATCCTCGCGGCCACCGACTGCCTTGTCCCCCGTTGCGTAACCGCTGGTAAGCTTAGGGGAGGTTTCAGTCTTGACCTCAGAAGAGTAGTCGAAGGTGGTGTAAGACAAGCCGTATCCGTACTCGTACCGAGGCGTGATGTTATACCGGTCAAAGTATTTGTAGTCGATGTAGTTGCCATCCGAATAATCTAGGTTCAGCTCCGTCTCACTAATCATCGTGTCCGGGTTGTAATCGCTCTCATTTTTGGCAATGGTGTGAACGAGTCTACCAGAAGGGTTGACAACTCCGAAGAGAACGTCGTCAATCGCGTTTCCAGACTCTTGGCCCAGCGCACCAGCGTACAGCACGCCAGTGACATTCTCGTGCTCAACCCAAGCGTCGACCAAGCGGGGACCAACAGTGTTGATCACCACAATGGTGTTGTTACAGACATCGGCGACGGTGTTCACAAGCGTGTCCTGGTCAGCATTGGTCAACTCCGTGCGGTCGGCGCCCTCGCCGCCCCAGGCATTGAGGAAGACAACACAGGCATCCGAGTCCTCGGCCACACCGGTGGTGGACTCGGTGAGCTCGGTACCGGATCCTTGCATGCCGCTGAAAGACGTCTCGGAGGTATCGTTGAGCCACCATCTAAGCATGAAGCCATCCTTGGCGGCACGCTCGTTGAAGAGCTGAAGCGGCGTAGACAGATATGCCAGCGAACCCATGGCAGACCCTCCGACTACAGCCATGTGACCTTGCATGGTCGAAGGCTCACCGTCGTAGACGCCAAGAGCAGTGTTCGCACCCACGTAACGGGGGCCAGCATGGAAACCGAAGATGCTGATGCTCGTCTTGTTGACCAGTGGGAGCGCACCTTTGATGTTCTTGACTAAGGCGATGGACTCAGCAGCATATTGCCTTGCCATAGCGCTATGGTTGCCGCGGTTGTCAATGCGGTCCGTTGCGCCAGCCAGGCTGGGGTACTCGTTATCCTGACCCAGGTGGAAGTAGCCCATCATGTTACGAATAACCATGTCGTCGAGTCTATCAGAGGTGAAGCTGCCGTTGGTGAGGCCCACGCCCAGCGTTTCATTTGACCAGTAACTGCTCGAGGCCAGATCCATGCCTGCGTTTGCGGCGTTGATGCCAGTCTTTTGCGCGCTAACATCGGCAGACACAATGCCAGGAAACCCGAGCTCGACCTTGAGGTATTTGGCGAGGAGGTCTTGGCTCTCACATGAGTATGTTCCGTTAACCTTGTTCATGGCACACATGGCACCGCCCATGCCGTTGTAGACAGTGTCGTAAAACGGCCACAGGTAGGTTTCATGGAAAGCCTTGTCGCCGATAGTAACGGTGTAAGAACCAGAGTCATCGGAGGAGGTCGTGCCGTTTGTCGTAGTGTTTGTCGTTGACGCCTGGCGCGCCGTCAAAGTCGAGTTGGTCGATCCACCGGGAGGAGATCCACCTCCTCCCATGCCACCTCCAGAGCCGGTGCTCATGCGATTGGTCTCTTGCTCGTTGAGAATGAAGTGCTTGGCACTGGCCGTTACACCAGCGGATGACATTCCCTTTACGACTGCGCCAGCCATAATTCCAGCTTGATAGCTGTCCACGCCATATGTCTCGCCAGAACGACTGCCCCACGCTGAGCGACCAAGAGGCTCCAGTGTAGGCCCATATGCCATGTTGATACCCTTTCCCTTGAACTCCTGACCAACGCCATGTCCCTGGCCCTCCGCGGCTACTGTGTCCCAGGTCATAGCCATCGCCAAACCGGCGGGCCACGTCGTAACGTAGAAGTAGGTGAGAGGGTTGGTAGCGGAGTCGAGATTGTGCAGTGCCGTCCAGTTGCCGCCATCACCACCAGCAACGATGGAGATCTTCTCTTCGGTCGTCAGTGTGGATACAAGTGCTGATGCCTTATCATAAGCATCCTGCCAAGCTCCAAGTTTAACTATTAATTTGTCGGTAAGCAGATGTTCGTAGAGCAAGCAAGAGACATACCGGTGCCGGAGCTCAAGAGCTGTTCTGTGTAGTTAGCCGACGCATCTTCGGATAAGGTGCCAGTCACAAAGGTGAGTATAGCCAAGGCCCAAGCGGTTGATGGGCGGTACATGTTTGCAGAAGGTGCTGTCCTGTACAAGAGACAGACAAGAGAGTGACTTGGGCGGGTGATAAATTAGAAGATGCACGTCCTCGACTATCCGGAGCAAGCATGTGAGAGGCAAAAGAATGACTTAGATGATCCCCAATAGACTAAGAGCTGCAATCTGATCAGAATCCGGGCTCACCTCTGTATCAAATGATAGTCGCTAAGACCAGTGCCAGGTCTTATAACAACCACCGTCATACCTCTCAGCCTGTTCTATCGGTGTTTCTCCGGCAAAAGAAGCCATAAGTCATGGGTAAATAGGCAAAAGTGGTGCAGAGCTTACGACAAGCCATTTCCATAGCCCCGTTCGTGGCCGGATCCAGGCGCCGGGCTCGGTGGTTATGACTGAGGCGTGCCGGAGCGGCTACAGAATCCGAGGCTACGAACTCGTCTCCCGCCCTGATCGGAAATTATCCGCTTACTCCGTCGTGTGGGAAAGATGAGTAGCCTAACTACGAATGACGGGAAAGACAGGTACCAGTAAGTTGAATAACGAATTGCATGGACGGCACTGGCTCATCACCGCTCACATTGAGATCCATTCTGGTGTCTCGGAGACGCGTCCTCAGATGTCTAGCAGCCGCTTGTCATCCAACCAAAGGGCAACGTCGACGACTCTATCAGAATAAAACCACGCATTTCGGCTTGCGAAAGGGTTCAACTCCACACCGAGAAAGGGGGCAGTGAATCATGTTTGTGGCGTGGGTCGGCCTCATGCCGACACCGATGTGTAGATCCGATGAATAACCCTGGCGATGGGAACAATACGGAGCCAAGAATTGAATGCTATTGGAGGTTCCGCCTGTCAGAACAAAATTTGTGGGCTCGAGTCCGAACTTCCCAGGTTTGCAGGATTGTGGGTGAGCCCGGCACCGGCACTTGGGGGTGGGGGTTCCACGTGTCGGCGACTACCGATGATCTAATGTGGTCAAATTTGGGCTAGTATTTCGTGTTCTCATCTCTTCTCTTGAACGGGAAGCTTTTTTTTCCCGACAGTTCTCAAAGTGAGGATTGAAGCTAAAAGATGTCTGCCCACTCCAATATACTTGTTGCTACGAGGCTTACAGGCCGTGCTAGGATCGTCGTCGATACTTCCAAGCCGAAGGGCTTAGGAAGACAAGCCATGATTCTCGGACTTTGCTATGATTCACTCATGTAATATTAGACATCTCCGTCATATGGCAAGCTGGCTTTTTCCTGAATGGTCGATGGCATGTGGAAGGGTCCTGGATTCTGTTCGGCTGCCCTGCCGAATCCCATCCGGCAGACAGACGCCGGCTGTGGGGGCACACGGAGGCGCGTGTGGCTCCACTCCGTCTGTCTTCCGTGGCCTGCCTTTGAGTTCTGCCATCTGAACTCTGATAAGATGGGTGGTCCAACACTAGTCGCTATGACTTGCCGGGCGATACCTACTCCTTGCACGCGTCCTCATAGACAACAATTATTCAAATAGGTGGTTGCTAGAGCACATGAACGGAGTCAATGTATCCAATCGGTGAGTTTGATGTCAGACCTGGTTCAGAGTTCTGAGCTGGACCACAACGATTCCGGTGATATATGAAGAGAGCCGACAACTCATATTTTCAAATCCGTTAGACATGTTGCCATTGAATGCAAAACTCTAAATAAAGTGTCTATCTTTGTACATCATCAAATTTCTCCGATCCACTCAGTTCTACCAGATTGTCTAGCTTGTTCGAATGCGACGTTCAATTCTTCTCGTTGCTCATCAGTCAGCCTCGATCTGTGAAGACCCAAGTCTCGATCCCGCAGCGTCCCTCCGCTCTGAGCCAGAAGCACCGAGAGTTTCATTCTATCGGCACCCAGCAATGTTGTAACGAGGCAAATATCTAACGGCGATAACCCATCAACATTCCGTACGTTGGGGTCCGCACCGTACTTCAGGAGGAGTGACAATGTCTTTGTGTCCTTTGCGCCTCCCTCAACCCTGAACCTTGAGTCGACGTGATGGTGTAATGGCGCGTTTCCGGCAGCATCCGTGATATTGGGGTCGACTTTTGTTTCGCAAAGGAGGAACTGCACCAGCTCGACGTTGTCGTATGCAGCAGCTTGATGGAGAGCATGAAGCTCCGCAGCTGTGTGTGTCACCAACGAAGAGCCTGCGTGAACAAGAAGCCGCGCCATTTCCACCGTCTTTTCGTGCGCTCGCATTCTGCCTGTCCCCAACAGGAAGTATAAGGCATTGGCTCCGTGGGCGCTTACGGGATTGTAACCCATCGTCGTCTGTAGCGCCAGGCAGGGGAAGCTGGCATTGTATTCGTCGCAGTAATCCTCCACATACCGCAGCGAGCCATAGTTCCCTGCATCCAGACCTGGCTGTACTACTGCCCTCTTGTTGGGGCTCACGTCGGCTTTGTGATTCAACAAAATCTCAAGGACGTCCTCTCTTCCGCACAACGCCGCCCAGTGCAGCGCACTCATGTCGAGTTTGCGCGGCTCCCTCCACCAAACCTGGTACTCACAATGCTCACAATACCGGAAGCATTCGTTCGTCCATTGTAGCGGCATTGTGTGATCATCCGCATCTGCGTTTGCGCCATGTTCCAACGCAAGTTTCAAAGCCCGGAGGTTGCCTCTTTTCGCCGAAATGAGAAGAGCTGAAGAATGATTCTGCTCTGCGTCTCGCCGGTAGAGCACAGGCGTGATAAGTTCGTAGAGTGCGCGGCATGAAGCTGCCAAGTTTGCAACGTCTCGCCAAACGTCGAAGCGAGGGAGCATGCAGAAGGGGCACATCTTATCTGTCTCATATGGTAGACACGATGACTCCCAGTACTTTTCGTAGCCCAGAGAAACCTCTTTGGCGTACAGGTCAAACAGCGCATCTACGATGCAGAGGATGATCTCAGATGGTAGACGTCGCGCAATGCCAGGGGCGTTCGCCTTGGCCAACGCGTGGTGATAGCGGCGCTTTTCTTGTGCATCGCCGTAGAGAGGTACATGGCTCCATACACATGGACATCCAAAGAGTGCCGGTACCTTTTCGTTGGCGGTGGCGGGAAAGTCTGGAATAAATATCAGCTATGTTCCGACGATGCCGGTGGGCGGGATGAGGAATGCGCAGTTGGAGTTGACTTACGCGAGTGGGCCATTTTGAACTCAGGAACTAGAAGCCAATCATGGAACAAGTATAACCAAAAGCGTCTTATAGCAATGCTGTCTATTATATAGCGACTTGTTGACGAAGATCGTGATAACGAGTGTGGGGAGGAAGGAAAACAACGCTTACAGGAGTAAGAATCGAAGTAAGAATCGAAGATTCTCACCTTATCTGGAGCGAAAATGCCATCACCATCGTCGAGAGTCATTGACGGAAATTTTTTCGTCTCAGTTACCGACCCCTATTGCCAAAATTCCAGGGTACGCCTGCATGTCATCGTAGAAGCGTTGGGCAGTTCTAGAAACCGTGTCATTTGGCTGTCAGAGTTCAAGGGACATTCCTTGTTCAGTGCGTGGTGCAATACTGCTTACTCATAAACTGTCGGATCATTGCATGAACGGTCGGTTCGGAGCGAATTCGGAGACGGCGGTTAGTAACTACGATTTAAAAACTGATGAGTGATTCCATGTCGTCACTGAAAGACTTAACCCAAGACTTTTTAGCCAAATTTCGGAAAAGAAGGCATCTCTTGTACTTCGTGTCTTCCACTCACATCAAGAACGGATAGCAATTAACGTTGTTGCAAGGAAAGTAGTTAATACTTAGAATCTTTGTGTTGTCTCTATCAACCACATCACGCTTCTCGGCGATAAGTAAAGATGCCCAAGGCCGGACCAACCTCTAAGATTTAGATTGAATATTCCAAAAACCGCGACAACTCAGTGGTCCAGCTGCGCTTAGGATCATCGAGAGCCAAGCCCAGCCCATGTCCTCCCTCCGGAATGATCAGCACCTGCGTCGGCCGCTTGTAGACTGCCATGGCCTCAGCAAAGAGGAGCGTGTTCTGAACAGGGACAGTAGTGTCACTGAATGTATGGAACAGAAAGGTTGGCGGCGTGGCCGCAGAGACACGATTCTGCGCCGACAGCTCGTGTTGCAACTCCGCGCTCGCATTGGCGCCAACAAGATTGTCTCTTGAGCCTTTGTGCGTGTAATTTCCCTCGAGGGTGATGACTGGGTATGCGAGGATGCCGAAATCAAGACGGGCCTCCGGGTTGGTGAGTGTCACGGCAGAGAGATGGCCGCCTGCCGAGAAACCCCAGATGCCTAGCTTGGTCGTGCGGTTCTGTCCTCGGATGTACTCGAGAGCGTCTAGTGCCTCGTTCTGGGGTGCTGGGTACAGTGGCGCGGTTGCATTTGAGGTGGTGGTGTAATCAAGAACCCAAGCATCGATGCCTAGTTTGTTCAGGTACGCAGCGGGGATATATCCCTCCTTTGATATGGAAACACGGGCATATCCGCCTCCGGGACAGACGAGAACTCCAGTGCCTGTCGAGTTTTCTGCTGGGAAGTATGTAATTTGCGATGTTTTGAGTCTAAAGTATTCGTCAGAATGCAGCAGCGCCCAATGTATTCTCGGATTTGCTCACCTCTTCACGACTCTGTCGACGTCAAGAGATCCCTCGCTGTCAACCTCGGGTGACATAGCGACTGCACTACGGAGGAGAAGACCCGCGGTCAATGCTAAAATCGACTTCATCTTTCAACAGCTGCGCCAAGAACAGTATGGACTCAGGGGTTGTGCGTTTAGCTTACGTCTTACTACAATAGTTCAGGTCAGGAACGGCACGGATTGAACGGTTGAGTCTGTAGATAAATACCCATGAAATACCCCAGGTACCCCGCGTAGTGAGGTGTCGCCGTTCATCTCTCCCGATCTCTAGACAGCCAGTCCGTTTGTCCGGTCTCCATGATTTTGATCGAATGCTACTGCACCTCGTCAGATCAAAAAACCGAAAGACTGTTACCTTGACAAAACCCGCCAATGGGAGCGTAAGACTACTTGCGCGCTAGAGCATTTTTCTCAGAATGGAAGTAAATCGCGGCCATCCCATGTCAAGGTTGTGGGTCAATTGTTGGGGTTCGCTGCAAGTAACAGCGATTTGATTTCTCCCTCCCTAGAGAGTTTAATGCGTCTCCAAGACTTGGCAATTGATAGGTGCCTTTTTTCGGTACTTTATCAAAGTCAATTGCCTTCATAAGCGTGCCTTCCTACTCCTTTTTGGTACAATATCATTACGATAGTAGACCTCAAATCTTGAGTTGCCGGAACACAAACGCATAGCTTTCAAGTATTAGACCATAAAAAGGTAAATATTCCTCTCTTAACATGGGTTTGAGGGTATGAAATGGTTTTGTTGCTATGTTTCATGTCCATGTGTGTTTGACAATTGATTTTATTGCTTTCCATGACGACAAAAGGGCAACCCCGGACCGAACGGTGACAAGAGTCCCAATTTATTTACAGAGTACTGCAATGCCCGGGCTCATGACTTCACAATATCTTCCATTGTCGGAAGTCGTATGTCAAGAAGCCATATAAGCAGATAGAAATAAAGGGGGGTATAAAATACCTGTCATTGCATATAGCTACATGTACAGATTGAATATACGTTACTGAGACTAGGACAGAAGGTTGAAGCCAGTGTGCAAGTCCCTGAGCATGCGCTTATGGGGGGCTTGGGCCTCGCCGCCAGTTGTAAGCACAGTTGCGTTTCTAATCATCTCGACTACCTTAAGGATGTCCTCTTGGGTGACGGCGTTCGTCTTCTTAACCCAGCCTAACTCAGCAGGAAGGCGCTCGTTCTCTGCACATCAAATGTTAGTCCACGGTCGTCCTCAAGAGTTCTTTCATGTGTCTCATACGGAAGAAGTATTCAACAAGTGCCTTGTTAACGGTACCGGCGGTCATATCGCCGAAGACGATGATAGGAGCAGCAACCTCTCCAAGACTGAAGTTTTCCACGGTAGCACTGAAAGTATAGTTGGGGTTGAAGGCCCTGGACGTGACCTGTCGCGCCACCTTGCTGTTGGCTAGCTGCTGCGCATCGAGGACTTCCTTTGTCCAGTAGGCTCTGGACTCGTCAAAGACGGATTGGTTGAATACATGGTTGTTGCCAAAGGCGGCATCGGTGCGACTGTTGACAAGGTGTCAGTACAGTTCAATTCTACCAATTGTACTATAGAGTATAGCTCAAACTAAATATGCCAGAACCAAATGGGTCGAGACAAGGCTATTCAAAAGGGCAGATCTTCAACTTACCTCAAGCTAGCATCGTGCTCCAGGACATTATGAACATTAAGCTGGTCCCTAAGATATGCTGGGTTAGTGATGAGTTCCGCCAAGAGTCACCATCATGTAGGCCTCTTACAGAGTGAAGAATGTGGCATTGGGCTCCGGGTTGGCAATGAGGGCCATGTTGAACATCAGGGTTCCAAGATCGGTGCCGAAGTTGAGACCATCCTGAAGACCTTTGACCACAACATCCTTTGTCAGGTTCTTGCCGTCGTGAGAGATGAAGCCGTGGTTGGCCAAAGTATTCATCATGGGGCATGGGCCACGGACTACATAATTAGCATTTTGAAGACTTCGGTACAGCTCGCTAGCGTGATGTACTCACAGTCATCGGGTCCAGCGGGAGCCCACTCAGTAGGAGAGGCCCGACGGAACTGAGGGTTGGCCAAGTGAGCAGCAGCCAGGTGAGGATTGGCTGAGGCCACACCAAAAGCCGCGGCGATGAAAGTGATAGACTGCTTCATTTTGAGTTGTTGAAGATCGGTGTCGAATTGAGGAGCTGAGAAACGAATGTAAGATGGGATGATTGTAGCCTGTTGCTAATTTTCTTCCGATGAACCCTTCTCACGGTCTCATATTTATATCCAACGACGCCGAGAGCTCATCGTACATAGTATTCTGCGCCCCGTATATTCGTTTCCGTTTTATCCAAATGCGACCACAGATCAATCACAGTCGCCAGGACTCTCCTCCCCCAGGGGCTATGTCATTGTCCCCCATTCGCCCCTGATTCAGACTCATGCCAACATGTCGATGTCCGCAGATCGTCCCGTCCGAACAACTCGGTATCGCTCCAAACTCCCCCCATGATCCATCTACAATCCACGGGAAACTTCGAGAGCCAATCAGAGATTGTATGATGACCATTTCGCATGGTTGTCTTTGCGGAGGTGGTGGATGGTTACAGGCACAGGTGCATCTATTCCCAGTGAAACGCGGTGCCACTCAGGCGTTGCCGAGCCAGCCTATACGCGGATACAGATTCATGCTACGTCATGGCGACTTACCGACAGAGTGCAGCGCACGAAACTAAACATAAAGACGTTCATATACGCGGAGTTCAGAGACGAAGAACCATTTCTCTACAGAAAGAACACGACACCGCTCACTTAGAGAGTCCATAGCCAAGCCCTCAACCACGTTGCACATCAACATCCGTCTGAAACAATCTGCTCCCGTCTACACGATCATACCCGTAAGAAGCTTACATTAGAGATCACGGCTATGCAGGCCAAGCATTAATACGCCGTACGTATAGACAGAGCCAATCACAGCCGCCAAGTTTCAAATGCACTTCCACGTATTCACGTGGATCGACAAGACCCCCGTCCACCTTCAATGTTATTCTCCGGAAGTATCGATATACCGTCAAAGTCCGATAACTCCCCATCGACCACGAGACTCTCATTGGACTACGAAAACCGTTCAAAACAATGACGAGGCTGAGCTTCTCATCTAAAGCATCGCATCGCCCCCAGCTTCCGGTACTTTAATTATCCTGCAGCCCTAAAGTATCGCGCGATCCTCATCAACCTGGTTCCGGCAAGCAATCCGTCGTCAACCTCTGACGTCCTCGACAGCACCTTAACCCCGTGATCCGACCATTCAACGTTCTCCGCCTCCTACGAGTAGCCCCGAGGAGGCTAAGCTCAGCCCCTTCCACGAGCACCGATTCGCCCGGTGTGTCTTTCACGGGTACCGCAATCGAGGCCCGCCGACTTCATGCGGTTCGAAGTAAGGCTGAGTTGAAGGAGGGGCGGACGGGCAGTGAATCACTTCGAAACTTCGGGCTCGGTTTCGGCGTCGGTTTCGGCGACTGTCTTGATCAACGGTCTCCGAGTGCGCCTTGATGCGGAGCTCTTCCGTCTTCTCTCGACGACATAACAACACCATGTTACTCCGTCCCCGTTCCGTCCCGGTTGAGAAGACGCGGAGGAAGTTTGCCTTCGATGACCACGACGCTACCGTCGCCTACGTGTCTGTCTCCGTCGGATGCCCTGGCCCAGATCCATTTCCCCTGGAACTTGGTCAGCGGACTTTGGAGATGAAGTTAATGTTAAGGCCGTGATCACTCAGGGGAGGCCGGAAGTTCGTATGGCCTGCCGCAGCAATCATAGCCACCTCCGCTATTATCTACAATAGACCAAGTTGGGCTTAGAGAAGGCATATACGGACCGACGACCCAACGACCCAATGTCGGGGCAGCAGAGTGCGCCATGGACAACAATCCTCCCGAGATCGGTCCTTTCGAAGACGAGTTAACGACGAGGCTCGACATAGCGTGAGGACTTCCGCAAGCCCTCCATCGCTATACGACATCCCAAAGAACTCTCCTAGGGCCCTTCGCCAGCAACATGGGGATCTCCAGGGATCGGCGCAGAGGAGGACGAAGATGCGGAAACATCTTTCGGGCACCAGAGTCTGACATGATGCTAGGCCAGCCAGATCCTCGTCTCCAGATTGGACGACATACGGCTCATCTCAACATATGACAGCTGAACCAACAAGCCCTCACACCCAAACAAGAGAAACGCCTTACAGCGTCCCGCCAATTCAAACTCACCCTACCATCTCATCCCACCTACCGACAGCCATCGAGCACTAGTCCCCAACGCATGTAGCCAGCCCTGTGCCGCAGAGAAGCACGATCAACCACGTGAAGTCGAGATCCTCGATGATCATCACCAACTACACAGCCCGCCGGACCGCGTCACCCAACGTTCGGGAAGAGGGGGCTGACTGAGCACCACCCCCAACAGAGATGGCGGATCACACAAGAATCAAGGAAACGTGACGCTGTCACTCTGACATTCAGGGTCCGTCATCACCGTCAGCATTCTGCGACGCTTACATCAGGCTCGGGGGATGCAACCTTGGGCAACTTGACTAAATTTCATCGTCAGATCGATTCGATGAAGCCTTCTTCATTCGCCTACTCGCAATCGCGAAGCCTCCTTTACGATACCTCGTTTCTATCTCTGGTCCACCGACAACCCGCCAGCCTTGCTGTTGAGACGGGGCTCTTCACAGTCAGCAAACCCCGAAACCTTCGGACTTCCGCATATTCCTCGCGGGTCCCGTCTCTTACGCAGCCAGACCATCGAGTAAGCCGAATCACATTGACAATGATCTCAATCCAGACCACGTAGAACAAGGGGCGTCGTGAAATAAGCTCCCTTCCACACGCTAGTCAAACCTGTCAGGCTGCCAGTTCATTCCAAAGTCCCAGCATCAAACGAATAGAAAGAACAAGTGCCGGAGTTCCACCAACTCATCCCAGCCTTCTAGACCAAAGGCCTTTCCCCCTTCACCCCGCAAAAACGAGAGCCTAGAATCAACACCAAACGCTCATACGACGGGTCTAGAGGGACTATAATCGGATCCGGACCCTATGGCCTTGGTTTCTCCCACATCACCCGTTAGGGCTGGAATGCCCGGCGCCACCAATCTCCAATAAGTTACAACAGCTCTCTATTCCTCTCCTATTCCAATCCACATCAAAAGTTTTGCATGATGACGACGTCTGCTACGGCCATAACATCCATATCCAAACAACAAACCCGTCCGCATCTGACAATAAACGTGCCCCCTCCACCCCCCCCCCCCCCCCACTCCCCGTTCAGAACGGGGGAGTGAAGATGTGGACCCGGTGTAGTCCCATACCGTACGTACGCACGCCCACCATGTGAATGCATCAAAACCACCCAAAGACCTCCGCCCTTCTGCACACCCTCCCCCCCTTCACAGCCCAGTTGAGATGTCCCAGTTGCTACTAGGGGCCCCATCGCCCCATCGGAGATTATCTACGTAGAGTAGGCTGAGCAGCAGGGCAGAATTAGGGCCAGGGCACCGGGCGAGAAGGAAGGAGGACAAGATGCTCCTAGGGTTAAGGGGGGTGAGGTGGCATGGACCGCATTGTAGGGCAAGGCGGCGCGGACGGTAAGGATTCTTTGGCTCGAAGGGGGGGCTCACTTTTTGCGCTCAAGTTCCATGACGGAGAGCCCTACTATCCCGTACCGGGGCGCGCAGGGGATGCAGAGAAAATGGGATATGGGGAACAAAGTTCAAGCCGTCCGTCCCATCGCCTACGGGCTCGAAACTTAAGCCGCGGTTGTAAGACGCTGGGGGGTGGTTCCCGGGGGAGAAGAACAAGTGCCAAGAGGGGGGCATATCCTCTTCTTTCGCCGCAGTGTCGGACCAAAAACATTGACCCCCAGCACCAGGGCGAAAGAGAAATTGCCAAGACATTTTCACCTCCAACGTCAACCATGTTAACCAACCCCTAACCTACGGAGGAGCACCCAGCGGACAATTGCGTACGCAAGCCTCTTTGATATGGAGAGACAATTTACATAGCATCGAAGCTAGTGTTAGTCACGCGTGGTAAGGTAGTAGCGGTAGTAGGAAAGTTTAGCTTGGAGATTGATTTGCAGCGATTTGTCTAGGATGAACCAGGCCGAGAGGGGGCTATCCCGATGAATAAATCGCAAAAATCGCAAATTGTCATCCTTTGGACGGCACTAGCAAATGGCACTACTGCTTCACACTACACTACATCCGAGACGAACCTCCGTTCCTGGCCCCGTCGTTAGAAGATCCCCATTTTCCCAGCATCTAGCTAGTCTTTTGATTCATCATGGCATCAAGTTAGCGGGAAAACCCCCCCCATTCCCGTTCCCTTGGATGCCTCCCTGCAAAGAGATGCAAGATGCAGGATGCAATGGCAGATTTGACAGGTTACACCTACTCCGTAACAGAGAATAAATGATACGCATCCTGGTGACCAAGGACCCGCGATATCTGACTCAAATGGCGAGCGTCATCGATCCCTATCGGTAAATAATTACTTCGTACGAGGAAAAACCGAGCCCCCCACACTCGTGCGCACCGAGGCAGAGTGGAACATGAATGACAAGTGTCACTGTGAGCAATATGCAGAGCAGTTTGCAAATACATGACAAAGTCGAACTGTTGCGCAAGACGAACACGAGGTCATACGAATCAATCGCGCTCTCACGCCCGTAGACGAACCACAAGGTACACGACCTCGTGGCAGAAGATGGGACGGTTCCCGCAGTGGAACTTCCATTTCGTCCTTCGGAATTCCCGCCCGTACCATGGATGATCATCGATCAACCGAGACAGGCTGCAAAGTCACAGAGATATGGAGAAGCCGGACAGAGAGAGAGAGTCGTGAGAGTCAGTTCTTTGTAAAGTTGGGACGATTACCCCTCTCCCCCGCGCCATCTTATGAACCGTTGACAAAGCATTGTCGTTTGGAGGTTCCTGGTCAATGGAGAAGAGCAGCACGAAAGAGAGCGTGCCCCGAATAGCAACAAACCCCCCAAACGGCAATGGAGTAATCGCTGGTATCCAGCGAAACTACAACTCTACGGAGTACGGCGCTGCCTTTCGCAACCCGACCCAGAAAAGATGCACTCGCCTTACTCATTAACCCAAATCTACCCGCCCCCCCCTTCTGTACTCTGACAGGCACACGAACAGGCTTGATCATGGCCCACTCGATCCCCCCTACCCCAGGCGGTTGCTCCTTGACCATCTATGCTTCTCCCTGCCCTGAGAGTATCCAAACGGATACCTGAGTCTTTCTCTACCACCTTCCCTGAATGTTCGGTTAATGCCGAACAGAAATATTGGAACATCGCTAGGTAGATTCGACTCCTCGTCTGCTAATCTCTACCCCCTGGGGAAAGGGACCCAAATGCAGACAGAGTAGGCGCAGCACATGCCCCCGGTATTGAGATCCCTTTTTTGGGCAGAGATTTACACTCAAGTCCCGAGCCGATCGCAATGACGACACAAGCTCTTGATCCATTATCCACGGATTTGAATCCACTCATTGCACATGGGAGATAGGGATGAGAAGAAGAAAAGATTGCAAAGGGGGGGGGGGAGGGGGAAAGAACGGATACTGGGAAGAGGTCAGAACTTTAGAAGCCCCATTATTGAATTACGTCGTCCACATCGTACGGAGTTCGCTCCGGACCTGGCAAATCTATGTATTTGTACTGAATTTAGCAGCAACGGGAGCGAGGCTCAGTCGATGCAGGGCCCGTGAAAGGCAGGCTTCGGCATAACGTAGCCCCAGTAGTCTCCTAAAGGTCATATCCGGACTTCAACAATGTCCAAGATGATCTAATACAGTATGGTATTTGCGGATAATTTCTTCGCCATCGTCCGCGGCCAGGGGTGCTTGCAATATTGCGGGTTTGTAGATCGACGACAGACGACCCTTCTTCACGGGCGTGACGGGCTCAACGGAGCTGGAGCAGAAGGAACCAGGGGCCTGACATCTAAATTTGAAGGGGCTATGCCTGAACCTAGCTTCTGAGCAGGATGGAAAACAAAGCATGTCCGAATAGACGTTGAAATCTAACGTTGCCAGGCCGGATGCTATGCATCGGCGAAGACAACATGCATCAAGAACCTGCACGCCCAGGCAACACGGACTTTCGTCCCCAGTAAACGGGCGTGACAGCATGTAACGTAACTTAAGCAGAGAAGATTCCGTATCTCTAATGAAAAAGATTTCGCATCATCTGAAAAGAATGATGGTGCAAGAGAATGCCTCTGTTCGGTGTCAGATGCGAAGTCTACATCATGGTCACCAGAGACTAGAGAGTAGATCGACGTCTCATTAAACAACACTTCTCAACTACTATAAGCATTTCGCGATAGAGGCCAACCTCTTGATGCCATTTACTAATAGAAAAGACTCATCAGTCAACATCGCCGGAGATGTGGCAAACGCTAATGCTTTCCGATTATCCAGCATGCCATGTGGCCGTTATCAAAACGAGCCGGGGAACTGATACTACATCAGAGACGAACGAAGATCGACCTCCCCTCCTCATGAACAAGCACCAAACCTCAATCGGGGGCTTCATCGCACAACCGTGGGGGCCATCGCCGGAAAAAGAGTTCTGGTCCGTGTCGCAGTCGTCGTGGTATTAGTCCCAAAAGCTTCAAAGCTTTCCAAAGCGTGCCGTGCGAATGATTGATGAGACGGATAGTAAGTACCACACCATGTCCGATCTGAATCTCCCCCCCAAGGCCCGGCGGCAAGGCTGGGTGGTTTTAGACTACCTTAGCGCGTCTTTTTGTCTTCTACGGGATACTTGCGGCCTGCCTCTTCGAATCGAGCCTCGGCGCGGGAGGTCTTGACTTTGCTTACGTTGGAAACTCTCTCACACCGCACTTTGGCATTGACACTACTCGCGCCTTTTTGCCATATTACACGCCGTCGCCGGGCGGCATCTCCCGCAAGGAACATCCCCCCTTGAGGAAATGCAGTAAAGGTAACAGTCAGCAGTACGACCCGTACGTAATGCACAGTACTTATCGGGTCCCCGTGATGTGACGTTGGAATTAGGAACTTGAGTCGTCTTCGCAGTTTGTCCATTTCCAAAATCCTCATTACACATCCTACACTGAGGTCAGCGAATGTAATTACCACTCCTTCGATCCCCATCATCCCCGTGGGCCGTGGCTCCCGTGGCTCCGGAGATGGAATTTCGCGGAGAAGCATACTCCGTATTCGTCAAAGAGGCGGACGCTGAAGGATGTGGAGACTTCTAGCTCCAGTCATCCTAAGAAACGGGCCGAGCATGCTTGCTTTTCAAATCTTGCTCGAAGTATCCGTAAGAGACGATGGAGGATTTGACGGTACTAACACTGCACAATAAACCTGTCGCACCGCTGATCGCTGCGTGTAGCGCAAGCATCTCTCATGTTCTAAACAAGACCGGGCCCAGGATAGAGAAATGAAGCTTGTCCGTAAAAGGCGTTTCATCCTCATCACCAGCATACGGGATAATCGCCCTATGGATACGCAGGTTGCAGGTCAGTACATGTATTGCCGGGACCGCATTGCGCAACGGGACACCCCTCGCCTTGTCCTCGCTCACCACGCTAAGGCGGTTCGTACTCGTTGTCGTTGTCCATTACCATGGGCCATGGCATGGCATGGGAGCGTGTATTCGTTCGCCTGGGCGGGGTTCCCCCTCCGTAATCACTGATAATTACCGTCAGGCCTGCAGAAGTTCAGTACTTCAGTTCCGTCTCCTCTTGCCCATGTCCCGGACGAACCCTGCGACCCTGCCTTGCCTTGTCCTGCCCCGTCCGTAACCCCGTTGAACTTGGCCCCCAAACTGCAATGCCCACAGGGCGCAAACTCAAAAAGAGTGCAAGACCCCTTGGATGATCCATCCGTATGTATCCCCGACGTGGGAACGGGTTTTTCGATGGAGCAAGCCCGTAGGCACCCGGCCGGGACAGGACAGGCAAAGACAGGGCCCAGGGCCAAGGCGACGGCGAAGGGAAGAAAAGGAAAATGGCGCGGCAGCAGCCCGTTCTCTCCCTATCCTATCCGTTCCGTATCCGTACTCCAAGGGCCAAGGGGTTAAGTCAAGATTTCGCCGATTGATTACCTCTTGGCCCCCCTCCCCGGCCCCCAGAGCATCCTATCCGTATCTTGCTCTGAGGACCGAACTGAACCATACTTACACCCCAAGATGGCACTGGGCAGAATCAATCAGCCTTGGTCAGAATCTGATATACACACTTCCGCAGGGTTCAGGTCTCCGGCGCAGTTCGCTGACATGCCCAACATGGCGGCCCTTGACGTTGGAGTAGTACATATAACAGCGCAAAGCAGATTTGACAGCGGACGATACACTACGCATGGGGAATAGTTCGCGATGTGATTGTGTCCCATCATCCATGAAAGCTTTGATGTTACATCAGAGAATGCAATGATGGGAAGAACCCCGCGCGTAACGCTGCTGCTGTCGTGCCGGCACTGGTCAGAGAATGCCTGCTGGATGTCAGACGTCAACGGTCAGCAGCAAATGTTTGGCCCTGAAGACTCCGTCTGGAATGGGCCTGTCTTCTACTCCTGGGGGCGAGGCCCGTCAAGCCAGCTGAACCACGGATATTGCCTCGTCTTTGGCATTCTTGTTCTGCTCTAGTAGCCGACCCGTGCCACCCCCCTTGGAGTCCGAGACTAGTTTGCCTATACGACCTTCTCGTGTTCTTCCAGAAGACGTCTGGCAAATCTCGTACAACCATTGCAGCTTAAGTAAGCAACGCCCACAAGTGACAAAAACCGAGAACGGGTGTACAGGTGGACATTGGTCGTTCCCTCCCCCCCTTCAGCCGAACCTTGACCTGCTGCCTCTCTTCGTCATGTGGAGACCTCGATACGCTCTGGAGACCTGAAGGTTTGTGCTTTGCCAAAAAGCGTAGGCCTTCCGCCCTGCGCGGCCCTACAGGCGAAACGTGTGACATTCCCAACTGAAGGGTTAGCGCACTGCCCTAGCGGCAGACGGACCCTTGGCATCGTGTCCCAGGCAGAGGACATGAGTTACCTAGCTGTGCGGCGTGCCTGTGGCCGGTAGGGCGGAAAGTGCGGGATCATTGATCAGCACGTCGTGTCGTTGACGCTGCCACAAGGTTGAAGCCTTTCCCGAACAAGAGGGCATCCCCGTCCTCGACCTCGGCATGGCAGGGACTAGCTGGAAGAGCCGGGCAGAGAAAGAAAGGGGGGCGTCAAAAGGGAGAGGGGGTGGGAAAAGGGGGGTTTTCTTTTCTTGCGATTTAGCGCAAGTTGCGAGAGAGGGGACCAAGTCCATACACAGTAAACCCAGGCCAGGAGTCGTGGTTAGTCGCCGACCACCACCCTTGCTCTTGGAGAGTTTGCGAGCGATCAATCGCTTCAGGTCAGTGACATCGTCGCTTTGCCGAGTTGGGGTATAGATTCGGACAGGGAAATGAGTTGCTATCGCGGCCTTTCAAATGCTCATTTTACAGCTTCGTCACTGCCCGTCCCGAGTTCTTAGGGAATGTGTTGTTACAGGTACCAGAGGAGAAGTTCTGCCGGAATTGAACTCAAAATAAGCACATGAAACCCCGCCGTAGCTAGGTGCATTCAAAGCTTTCCCTCGACCGGGTAGTAGTTCAGATAGGTGAGAGAACGCTCGCATCAGCAAGAAAGCGAAAAAAGACTGAGGTTGTCAAATAGCGATACTCCGTACGCAGTACATCACAAAGGCAACCCTCGTAGTGCTGGGCTAGAGGTTCACACAAAGGCTAAATATGACTCGTCGAGAAGGCTCGCAACCTCCTGGACATTGCTTCTTGCACTGCCACACTCGTGCCGGTGATCCAATGTCAAATTCAGAGTAGAGGTATCCACAAACAGGGCCGGCCGGTCGGGGCCCAGAGAGGGGGCCACGGTGGGGCAGGGCCTTGATGCCAATCTCCCTAAAACGGGGGCGTCGCGGGATTTTTAGTACCCAGCAGGAAGGGAACAGCTTAACAGCTAGCAGTCTATCCGCAAGAGGTCGTCCAAGGATGGGGGCTGCAAGGATAGAAGAAGGAGATGATGGTTAGGGCTTCCGGCAGTCGAGACGCCGGGGACGGGACTCCAAGACAGCAATTCCTCCGGCCGGGGCACCGCCGGCTATTGGCTGTGACCCGGCGAGGAGCACGCGTAACCCATGGGACGCACACGGAGGCTCAGGGGCGGATGGGCTGCGCTCGTCCGTCTGGGAGGCCATCGACGAGCCGTTTCCCACCTGGTGCGACGCCATTGCGAACCCAATGCCGTGAGCGTGGTGCCTGCAAGGGGGACAGTAAGGCCAAACTCTCCTCAGTCAGGAATCGTCCTTGTTGGATGAGGATGACTACTGAAATTTTGCTGCTGACAGAAACTTGCTTCATCATGGGCGGCTTGTACTCCGTAGACTTGCCCCCCGAGAGGGGCACAGGGGCTCCTACTTTTGCAAGTTGCCAATGCTCCGTGGGTGTGTCTCCGCCGCCACTCTACCGTTACCTCCGTTGACCGCGTAAGCACCGAAAGCCAGCCGGGAAAGCGATGGCTGAAGATTGAAGCAGTAGGACAACTTCCCGGCCATTGACAACAAGTGTCCGTACAGGAAACATGCGTGTCGCAAGTTGATCTCTCCTTGCCTGCGTCGTTGCACTCGCGCCGATGGGAGGTTCCATCCCGGGTGTTACTGCTCCGGCATGGCTGATCGCTGGGCGCAGCTCGTTTGAATGGGAGATCTCAGGGGTGGGTTGGGTTGGCGTGGGACAAAGACCGATACTCCGTGACGACTGGTCCACCTCTGCCATGCTTCCATGCCGCCATGCCTCTCGATCGTCGTTTGGTGTGCACTACCTTTGACCACAGGAGTGACACTCTGATGATCTCGGTTGACCGGAGACACCCCAAGGGTGGCCAACGGGGCACTAGCCAGCCCAACTGGCCCATCGACATCATCCCTAAGCGGCTGAAAAGAATGGTGTAGACTGTAGAGGCAGCCGCAGCCAAGATGCAATCTGGGTTTTCAAGACGCCACCATGGCCTGTTCGGCGCAATTACACTCTTCAGAACCCGAGGCAGAGCCCTGTTCAGTTCTTGTGCTAGTCGTGCCCCTCACCAGGAGCTACCGCGGGGCCCTTTGGGGCCAGGGCGGCAGATCATCGCCGTTGATCCAACCAAAAGTCTCCTACTGAGCACTACCTCGATGCGCCTGTCGTGCCCAATAAGGCTCCTCGGCAACGAGTCAAACTGCGTGACCCTGTCATGCAACGTCGTAGACTTCATATATGGCTAGTCATTTTGGGTCTCTGTATTCGTATACCCCCATTGTGTGTTATGCGATGGTGGCACGACGTCTAGCGCAACTTGTGCAAGCGATGTTGTTCAACTTCACGCAAATTAAGTGTCAAGAGCTGAAAATGTCAGTAACTAAATGCTGACTGAAAGGGATCGCCGACATGAGCTGATGACAGGCAGCCAGGCGGATAGGCCACGCAAACTTCCGGGATTCTTCTAGACCGCTTCCATGCGCTTGCCAAATGGGGCACTTTCTCCGTTCTCGCTCCGTGTCCCGGTGAAGGAGCCATGCAATTTTTCGTCGTTTTCGACGTTGACAACTTGGCAACTTGACTGCGACAATCCGCGAATTTGCGCAAGACGATGCGACTTACACGCAGTCGTCAGGATTCGGGCTTCAGCCGCAAGTCTAGATGCAGCAGGGCCCCGGAACTATTGAATACGCTTGCAAAGACGTCTTGGAGCTAGCCGTTTCAACATTCATCGCACCGATGCCTGTCCTGAAAACACGAGACTCTTTGACATGACAGTCAGGCGTGGGATCTACAGTCCGGATCATCCCATACTTGCTGCGTAGGCTCTTGCGATTCCGCGACTGGCAAAGTGGGCTTGAAGTCGGACTTTGAGTGAACAAGTGACCTCGCATTTTCAAACGATATCTGTTGCTGAGCTGCTGTCGTTCGTCGATGGCCGCAAATGATTGAGCCAGGCCACGGGGGTGGCGATGCTGATAGGATGGCTCCGAAAGGCAGCAGATCAGCTTCAAGTAGAGACTATCAAACCTGAATGGTTCAAATCGACCAAACTCTCAGCCCTGTCGGACCCAACTGGCATCCCTCCGCGTGCAAGTCTGGCGTCCCGAGCAACCGCTCCCCCGTGCCCGCCAAAGCCGACACCTCGGTACGGGCCCCACTTCGCCCAGCGGACGACCGACTGATTCGGAAGACTGACCGGCAACAAGATGAGCTTCGCCTCCGTACGGACCTTGGCATTGTCTCGTGTTCTGGAGGCTCTGTTGTGGGCCTGAGCAGCTCTGCCATGTCAGATATGCCTCTGTAGGTATCCATCCGTATGAGAGAGTTGAACACCCAGGCGAAGCTGCGGACAACCAGGCGGCCGACACATCGCTTCCTCGATGCCTCGCCTGAGAACAACAATTCGCCTTTAGGTCATACTGCGAGTAAGTAGTTTGCTAGGGTACGAATTCGACACCCCGCTATAGCCCCCGTGTGATGTAAGCCTTTCCAGGGTGACAAAGGAGCCTACCGCACGAGGCGTGTCAAGCCGAGTCGCATGTGTGGCAGTAAATGTAGGGAGGACCTCAATGACTGAGGGCCTTTGGAGCGAGCGAATCAGTCGAGAAGATCTTGGATGCAAGGCTGCCACGAGCGAGGCACCTCTATTGTAGCTTGTGGCATTGACGGTGGAGGCAACGAGTCTGGTGGAATTTCGACCCCAAAAGTAAGCTGCAGATTCATCTGCTATAAGGGTCTTACTCTGATCCGCATGAAGTGCAGAGTAGGAGTTCGCAGCTGGCTGGCACGGAAAAAGCAAACAAATGTGAGTTCTGACAGATTCGGAAACCGTTCAACGCCATGGCCATGCCATCGGGTTCCGAAGCTGCAGTCGATGTTGTCGAGCCGCCTGTTCGTTGGCTACGGATACTGGCCACTGATAAAGGCTTCCCACAATGCTGGGCGGCGGAAGGACTGAGATTGCCATCTTTTCGTTGGTCCAGATACGCACCAAGACGACCAAAGGATCTTGTGTACATGGCCATTGTACCGTGATCGATACTGCAAGTAAACGGCACAGTTCCTGCTGAGTGGCGGGTGAGAGGGGTATGGAGCGGGGAGATGTGTCTGCCGTCAGGCCTTAGCGGTCGCATCTCAAGGGAGATGGGCCTGAGTGATGCAGATATCCCCTCGCGATTTTCGTGCTGCTGTGTCTGACTTTCCAGCATAACATGGCCAAGTGAGCGAATAGTGGCTGGGATCTTGATCTTGCGACTGGATCAAGTGTGAGTCAGGAGAGAGGGGTCCTGCATGCGCCGCAAGAGATAGGTATTGACGTAGGTATCGACAACTAGAGCATGTTCTCCCATGCCTCAGAGTTGCGAGACCTTGGCCTCAAGTCATGACGACTCGCGTTAGTTCAGCTTCAAGGCGCAACATGAATCGCAGCATTCGCGAACGCACCTTGCCTCAAGTTTGCAGACCATCTTGGTACGTTGGTGTCCTCGCGGCCAAGGCTGCAGTTCTTCACCGCGAGCTGTTTGCCCGAAAATATCCTGGCGACCGAAGGATGCTTCGAAGATGACAGCTTCTGATCCTGGCAACTACCAATCGTCCGCCTTTGAGTCATATGACCACCATAGGCAGCAGAAGAGGTCATGGTGGAGGAGAGGTAATTCGCGAAGGAAGTTGAAGTTACCGACAGAACGGGCGTGGCCCCGCTCATTGCTCGCCCGGTTGTCTTACAGACCGTGCAGGCCAACGAGATGTCGTGACAAGCCAGCCTACTGTACATGCATGCCTGCAACTCTGCTGGGCAGCGGCGCAAAATTCATCAGAACATGGGACGTACAAAGAGAATGAAAGAAATACCTACCTAAACCGTTAGTGTTGAGGCGCCTAAGACATGGACACAAGCAACGGTGCGCCTTCATCCTTCTCAACGCGCCACTTTGAGGGTACTCTACGTCGAGCCTTGCCGGCCGGCACAGTCCACAATGTGTTGCCGTCGCAATGTCTCGTGTCAGCATGTGCATGCATGTCGCCTAGAAGGGCAACGCCAAATCCATACTCGGCGATATCTAGTCACTGGCTGCTCAGCCCGGTATCTGTACTCGCGGCTGCTTGCAGGTCTTCGGTCCCAGAATGAGACCATAGCGCCCGGATGCCGCAGGGCGCGAATGTCTTGTATTCGACAGCCAACCGGCGCAATTTACGATTCCGATAAGCGGCTTAGGCAAGTCGAGTGTAGCTGATCACGCATGCAAATGTACACGCGTTTTCCTGCTAGAACAGTGTGACGTTGCGTGAGTCTCACATATCGTGATACAATTCGGCATCGGAATTGGATAAAGAGTGAGACTGAACCTGGCTTATAACTATGCCTCGGCGGGCTGAGGCTGTGGCGAGTCGGTTCGCATTACTTACCTTGTGTCTCAGCTTCAAGCCCCTCCTCCGCGTCCGCGCTCACCTCCCGAGATGTTGTCCGGGCTGCTCTTCAATCTGATGTGGGCGTGCCGGCTTCCAGCGACCCCAAGCCGCCATGCGAGCGGCCAGCCTGGAGGTCAATAAGACGTCTGCACATCTCTAGATCTGCAACCATTGATAAGCAGCCACGCATCGCAGGGAAACACTGGCCTCCATCGATTGCCTGTGCTATGCCGCGGTGTTCGACTCTCACATTCAAGCGCAGGTGAGCTGAAAACTAGGTACAGGGTAGGAAATTGAAAGCAGTGCAACTCAGCAAAAGAGATAAACCCTTAACACGGCTGCTGAAGCCACCAAAGAACTCGCTCTGAATTCAGCAGTCATGAACCAACAACGTTGACGCCCAGCCCTCACTTCGCAGTCTGCGCCACAGTCATCATCTGCCCTTGAAGTTTGAACGTAACCGCCGTTGAAGAAAGGTTGTCTTTGGCATGCGGCCCTGTCAAGCCTGTCTTGATCGAATCACTGTGGCCTAGACAGCTGGCCACCTGCGCCCCGGCCCCCAACGGTGTATTGACCATAGGATGAACGAATCTTGCAGGCGATACCTCGTCTTCGACACGGGGCCAAGAAAGGTGGCAAAACTCACCAGCACCCAATCCCGTACTAGCTGAAATGGTGAATGGTGGTCTTGGCTTCGTAGCTTGACTTGGAGATGGCTGTAGTCATTGATGGCATGTACTCACTTCGTCGTACATTATGGCGCCTAGTGAAAGGCGTGATGCGAACGATACGGCCGAGAACGATGTCTGCGTGGATTAGCCAGCGTGCCTCTGGCCTTTCTTCCCCGCAATTGAATAGTGCTTCTCCGATACCTCCAGAGACAGGAATTGTTGATTGGCTTCTGTCGCTATTTGAGGTTAGGAGGAGGAACACAGTTCGGCAGGCAGATTTGAAATTGTTCCTGAGGAATATCTAGCGTCCTGCAGCCTGCTTACTGTCTATAGCAGTGGGGGCGATCGTTGCGCTAGGGTACCCGCGCTATTCCATGTATCCGTACCTGTAGACTGCGATTCGAGACAGCACCACATCAGAATGTGTTTCTCATGTCCACATTGTTATGGCATCTCCAATCTGGCACTTGAAGCGTTGCACCGCTCCAAGAACTGGGCTGCTGCTAAAAACAGCACTGGTGCCGCCTTCTCTTTGCTTAGCATCCGTAGCATCGTCCGTCTGAAGTCCCGCCTCTCCATCATTGGATCGCTTCAAGGTGAAGAGGGTGTAGACACTGCACGTGCTCTTGAGCAATCTGAGCTTGGCCGCTAGAATGGAAGATCTTGTTCGGCGAGTAACTAAGATCGACGGGGGGTCTGATGCCCTTCGGACATTGGTATTGTTGATTCCTGTCGCATGTCTTATAGTCATAGGTGGGCGTGGGAGACATGACGTTTAAGGCGTGCCGGATAGACATTGACTCTCATCCGCATATTGGTAATGGACCGTTGGGGGCTCAGTACCATGGGAACGCCAAGTGGACGCAGCAAGCGTACCTACATTATCCAAAGACAGGGTGATTGTGGGTGAGGATGCGTGAAAGGAAAGCAGAAAGGTAGAGATGAGCTTCATTCTCACCGAGGTGAGGCTTGGTCGGTGTGCGTGCGTCGCATCCCAATGTTCTCTAGGAGCTTTGGGCAGCAAAGCCATCCAATTGTTCTGACTCGGCTGATCGCAGGCCTAGTGACTCGTCTCGAACGTGAATCGAACGCCATGGCATTGGGGTGTGGCGGGCGTCGAGCCTTACGGGGAGGCTGTCTATCAGCTGTGCTCACGCCCCGTGGCTGACAGGCTGTGGCGCAACGTTTTATGGCTTTCTGAAGTGTCGTGTGGGAATACCCTAGTCTATCTAGGGCGTGCCTAGCTCGTGGTGTGAGATTACAATTGGCGATCTCAGCGTGCGTACCTATTCGTTCTCAATCAAGCGTGTGCGTAGCTCATGCCTTTCGTACATCGTGGTTCCCTTCGTTGAGTCGTTGGGAAGTCATGCGCCTAAACGCCAACTAAGAGACTTCGGCAGTTGTAGACTTAGGGGGCAGGGCATAGCCAAGCTCCGTTGTGTTGCCAGTTGAGTGAATGCGTGTGCCTGCCTCCCCCGCGGGCGTCCAGGTACTGATTCAAGACGGGTGCCATGGGAGGATGCGGATTACCTAGATCATGGGAGATGGACTGGAGCCTTGGGGCGGTCGAATCGTACGCTACATGTGCAGTGTAGTACCGGTGCACTGCGTATCCCGTAGACAAAAGCTTGGGCTTTCGGGGATGGCTGCGTGGGTTGGCAAGCCTGGTAATGTTTCATGCCGTTCTGGTCCTGGACGGCCTATTGGGTGACGGGACTCGGGGGTCTCTCCAATACGGAAGCCATCGCCTTGTCGCCCATCGGAGCGACTCCATCAAGCTCCATTACATTGCGCTGCACAGCCTTCCTCCATTCTTCAGTTCTCCCACGGTCCCCAGTTGTGAGGACGTCCGAACCCACAGGCCCCTGGGATCTGAGTCTGAATATGCCGAGGCATGGGATTCCAGCTATGGCCCGGCCCCTTTGCCTTGCATCTCCAACGGCGTCACACCATGATAATGGCCAATGAAGCCCTTCGATGAGGTATGAGACGGGCAGGGAGACCTTGAAAGGCTTCAAGTTGAAATACCAACAACAGCAAAGAGCCTCATCCTTCATACTTGGGAGGATTCTGAGTTCTGACACGAGGGTAAGCATTGCTGCCCCCAAAGTCTGATAGAATTACGAGGTATGTTTCCACCCATGATCTCGGTGCTCTCGGTGGAAATGTGGAGATACTCAATATGAGTCGCGGTTCTTAGTGACGTGCAGCCCGTGAGGGGCGATGAAGCACTGGCGTCTGGCGGCGGTGGTTTGAAGTTCAGTGGCGACGCTCTGGGGTTCTCGAGATGGCTGGTCTGGGGTCGTTGCCCTTTAGGCTGTCCAATCAGTGCTCCGGTTCACTCCGTGCCTGCTATTGACGGTAGGCTCCGTGTGCATTGAGCTTGTGTCCGTACGTACTTCGTCACTTCGTATGCGCAGTGGGAGTTCATTTTCTCCAGGAGCCCAGAGTGCTTCTAGAGTACAGCCTCGGGGACGTTGATCAAGGGCATGCTGGCGCCGCGTGCCCTTGGTCGAAGCGTTCCCTGGCATCGGGCGTCAAGTCAAGATTTGCATTGTGGTGCGATTCAGCTAGGCTGGTTCCAAAGACCGAGCTTTCAATTCGATAATGGTGCTCGAATTGCTAAAAGTCTGAATACCTAGGCCCTGCCGAAGGTCAATATTTTGCAATGTTTCCAAATCGTCGAAAATGCGTTGGTTACGTCCGTGGTAGCCCCGTATTGCGGCGTCAACTTGGCTGCGCTATCGTCCTTAATCCCGACGGCGTATATCCATTCTGCCCAGCGAACGCCATTCGCAAGTTGACCTGGATTTGAACTAGACTCTCTTCCTAGAGCGGGACGCACAGAAGTAGCCGTACTAGAGACGTCCTCGCCGTCCTGGGTACCAAATTGGCATGTAGTGAGGAAGGCTTCTGGTAACGTCAGTTCGAGGTGCGAAGCTTTGTTGACAGATTCCACATGCGTAGGGCGGTCACGTCCCTGGTTCAAAGTGCGACTATCACTCTAGAATCCGGCTTCCTCTACTTTGGCAAAATTTTCATGGCAACGAGCATACAGTAGGTTCCGTTGCTGCAGTATATTTCTTCGTCGTTGGTGAACTCCGTGGTTACGGCTTTGTCCTCGTCCGGAGAACTTGTTGACGACTTGAGCGCATACGGATGGAGGTGTGTGGAATTGGCTCGTGCGGGCAGGATCTACCGGTACGCCCTATCTCAGCTTGGGGCACGAGGCAGCACCCCTGTCGACAGGCCGACAGCCAGACGCCAAGTTGGAGGCACCAAGCTAAGCAACCGTGGCCGCGAGGCCCAAACGGTGTAGGGCTGAGGAGGTGGCTTGAAGTTGGAATTCCGCCATCAAACTGTCCTGGTCTATCCACAGGCAGGTGGACTGATACCCAACAGACATTCTGCACTTCGTCCGCCCTCCTTGGATTATCAAGTACGCCGGGCCTGTCTTGTAGTGACTGGTGAACGTTCCCAGCAATATCCGAAGATGGTTTCCATGTGATGAGGTTCAAGTTGTTGCATGACTCGTCAGATGAACCATCGCCCACGTGCACTAGTGAGATGTCCCGCCTCCAGAGTCCAACATCGTTGACCGTTTGTTGTCATTGCTGTTGGATCGTCGGTTGACATGATCAGGTTACGGAGCATTGGAGCTGCAGCGTGGAGATTTGAACTGCAGGGCAGCAGGGAAACCCTCATCGGAGCCGATTGGCCCCGTTCTTCCCCCACCTTGCCGACGCTCGAAAATGCCTGCGGTGCGGGGTATTCGTACTCGATTCGTTCCGAAACGTTCAACTCGACTCTGCCTGGGCATCGACAGACTATTGACGGGCGCGGCGCAGTCGATGACAAGTGGTGCACCAGGAAAGCCTCTCTCCACTGGAGGAAGGATACCTAGAGTGCCAGAGCATGGGCTTTTGTCATGCTTACCGTACGTGACAACCTGACCAGGTGCCACAAGTTTCGCGCCAGTCTGTGCTAGTGAAAGTGCTCAACTCCGAAACTCAAATCTCTTCCCTTAGTGGAATCGGGAGGTGATGTCAGGCGCTGTCGTCTTCGGAGAGGACTCCGTAGCGAGTAGGATCGGACGCCTCCCTTCAGAGACGGACGTAGACACCGTCTGGTTGATTGCTAGCCTGCACGGTTGTAAGCGAGCTGAATGGAAGCGACGCTGGCTTCTATTAACGCGTCTCCCGGTCGTGGTTTGGAATCATTCCGCATGATTGGTGGACGGCATGTTCCGGTGCATGTCGCGGTACATTCGTCGCGAGATCACAGCATCTGAGGAGCCTCGAGCCGCCATGAGCAACTAGGTGTTCCACAGATTCAGGCAACCGTGGTATTGTTGGAGAGAAACGGTGTTACCGCGAATGCATATGTAGGCATAGCCGTAGTGTACGACCAAGACACAGGACCTGCCATGATCACCAGATTTGGCCATCACTCGCCGAACTACGTTTGGTTGAGAGGTAAAAAGTACGGACTTGGTACTTGGGTTCAGACGGGGATGGCCTAGATCGCTCGTGGCTGCCGGTGCCATGGGCCTGCCGATGGGCTAGAAAAGGAACGACGACGCGCGCTGTAAACCTCGCTAGAAAGCCCGGACCACAACCTCCCCGCTCTCTGAAAGGTGGTGGTGCGGCGTGCCAGGTGGTTGTAGCCGTACGTACGAACATCCGAGAAAGACAAAATGCACAGGGAGCCGACGTCTAGGCCTGGACTTCCTCGATGGCCGTCTAGGAAAGTATCTCTCTTCTCTCGAATAACAAGCAAACGTAGTTCTTGACGTCATTCTTTTCGCTTGTCCGCTGGCATGACTGGTATCTATCGCAAATTTAACACTTTCGTGTCTGGGTGGATTAGGCACTGACCAACTCATAGGTAGTTGTGTGGCGTGCTGGGCTGCCCGGCATCCTGGGTAAGCTACACCAGCCTCCAGGTACAAAGATAGACGTCAGCAAGGGGAAGTCACCCAGCCTCGTAGGGCGAGAGAGGACAGGTTTACCTGAGAGGGATTACGGTAGGTACTCACGCACTCTCCCGCGAAACGTGGTTATGCAGGGTTGCCCTAAAAGTCTTTGTGAGAAATGCTACTAGCTTCTCGGACCCTCGGCGGTCTTGCCTATCGCGGAGATGGCCATCTGCCTGACATAGGGACCCGTACCAGTCTGGTTCGGAAATGCATCATTGTCAGCCCTAGATGACGGAACGGGGAATGGAACTCGCAAACACTTGGTATTCACAGCCATGGCTAGAACCCAAGGTGGTAGAAGGTGCGAAAGCTTCTGCGCCGGCGGGAAGTTGCAGGCGCTTAGTCAAAAGATGGAATGTGGTCCGAAGAGACTGATGCTATCGGTGCTTCACCGTCGCCGACACGGGGCAGCTGGCGGCTCGTCAAACTTGGGCCTCACGCCCTACTTTGCAGTAGCGGTAGTGAAATCCAAATAGTGTCCAATACTTCGGATTTCGACAGGGGCCGTCCTTCCAAACCGAGGCATGAACGAAGTCCAGGTCTAGCCATCCGTACGTTAGCTCATCCTAACGAACTGCGTGTGTCCAGGTTAGACGAGTAATGATGTGATTTTCATCACCTGATCGGAGAGAACGCGTGAAATAAGAGCCCGGCCCGATAAATCAATACTGCGGTTTTGTTTGGATCACGGAAACATTCTTCGCAAGACAAGTCAGCGAAAGCAGACTGATAGGGACGTCCCATGTTGGAGACCAGTGGTGAGACAGCTGTTGTGGGTGGCAGACTTTTTCCGTCGTTCGTCTTTGCAAGAGGAGAAGGCCGGCGCAACCTTGAGCGTCAAGATTGGCCAAAGATTTGCTCGTAAACACAGTCATCCAG